GAAGGAACTAAAGTTCAAAGCATCCCTTATTAAAGTCCAGAATAATCAAAATCTGTCACAGATGCATTTTTTACAAGAGATGAGACTGAGAATATCCTGAGTGAGCAGAACCATCTCTTTCTTAGCGTTTTCTCCTCCACAGTCATCTTTCCTCTCGCATGAAGGGCTGTAGCACTCAACAGCCTGGAGAGGGTTTCTGTGGTAGCATCTCCAGTCACATCCGACCACGATGGCACCACAGGTCCCCAAAGGGCAGTGTGTTCTGCATGTTTGCTCAGCCTGTTATTAAAACTGGAGAATTTCACCTATTTTCCAGCAGAACTCAGTCTTCGACTACAGAAATCACCCCAGCTCAACATCTCAGACTGATTTACAGACAGTTCTTCATGCCAAAAAGAGAAGACAAGTGGAAAGGCAGCCGAACAGACAGCATCCTCGGGGATAACAAACATGGCAAAACCCAGTGGGTTTGTCTATAACTGATTTCATCCCTCATCAGCAAAAACTCCAAGAAGCCTTTTGTCCCACACATGTGCACCCACCATGCTTTTACATCACTAATTTCAGCTTTTCAAATCACCGTCTCCTGCGCCAACCTCAGTCTGCTGCCATCATTACTGATGCTGGAGGAATTCAATAGCTGTTGACCGCTCATCCCAGACGAGCAGGAGCCAACCGTTACCAACACAGCTATTTCCAAAATGACAAACAGCACCAGCGGGCTGACAGGTTTTAAGGGCTGTTTCACTTGTTTTACAGCAAAGAACAAAGTCTCTTACCTGGCAGTTTGTCATGTGTGGTTTTCATTAAATAATGATCACAAAGCCATTTAGCATTCAGCCCAAACACGTACCTGGCTGCACACTCAAAACCCAGCTGGAGATCTCATCAGTACTTCAGTGTTGGAGGTAGGAAGAGGCACCTGGTGCCCCTTTCTTTACAGAGTTCATAATTTCACTTTTTCCATCATAACTCTTTGAGCTGAAGTTTTGTTGGGTTTTCTTTTTTCGCTAGCACTTTCTCTCTCGTGGGGAACACAAATAGGAAGAGAAAGGAGCCATGGCTTGTCCAAGCAAACTTGCAATGTAAATACCCACCACAAAATATCCTTCGCATATGGCGATCTGAAGCACCGAACATTCAGTGGTTTACCCAAGATCAGCCTGACTGAATCCAGTGCCTGAACCGGAAAACAGAGTTTAAACCATCTGGTTTTCAGGAGGAGCTTTTACTGATCTCTGCAAACTGGTTTGCTTGACAAAGCAAACATCTGTTGACCAGCCCATATTGGCTTCTGCTTGGAGCTACTAATTGTGCTAGAGAAATTCAAGAAAAAGTCTTATAATGTAACTACCATAAAAATTAATATTCACCTAGGAATAAGGTTACTCCATGGCTGTGAATAGATCGCTCTGAAAACACATCAAAATCTAGCAACTACACTAAAAGCAAAGTTTAGCTTTTTTAATAGTAAAGAACATTTCCAGTCAAATTTGGCCCCATTATCTCAATTCTGCATGGCTTTTGGACCCAGCAAGCATCACCAGGCTTTTAACTGACAGTTCCCTCAAAAATCCACCCATATTGCAAGCCATTGGCCGTAGTTGAAGAGCTGATTGTCAGATCATTGGGATTTGTATTTTTTTTATCTCTTTTTAGTTTTCCAGACTTCAATCTCTATGCCACAGCACTGAGTTGTCATTAGCAGTTGATAAAGCTCCTCTTCCAGTTGGGAAGTTGTGTCAGGGGAGGGTTAGATTGGATCTGAGGAAAAATTTGACTGCAAGAGTGGTCAAGCACTGGAAGTGGCTGCCCAGGGAGGTGGTGGAGTCCCCATCCCTGGAGGGGTTCAAGAAGTGCGTGGTGTGGCACTTGGGGCCATGGTTTAGTGGACATGGTGGGGTTGGGTTGAGGTTGGACTTGATGATCTTAGAGGTCTCTTCCAAGCTTAAGGACTCTGTGAAGCCTTCAACAGTGGACCAGACTGCAGGAGAGAAGAGAAGCCCTTGATGCTACAAGGAGAGGTGGGTTGTACGCACTAGAGAGATACTCAAGAGGTGTCGAAAAATAACTCCCGCAAAGGAGGTACTACAATAAAATATCACTTCTTCAACAGGTCGTGTGTGCGTTCACTGCAGAAAAAGCAGCGAGTTTCAAACTACAGCTTTGGTTGATGACCTGGTAAAATGCTGCACATTCCACCATTGTTTCCTTTCAATTTAAGTCTACACAGAATAAACCTAAAAAAAACCCCAAAATCAGTTCAGGTTTGTCCCTGGAGAAGCTGGATATTTCACTGTATCATCAGCCCAACTGCAGCACTAATAACCACAGCGAAAGCACATCATGGTCTGGAGACAGAGCCCTTACATGGAGATAAATAAAAATCAATTAAATCAAAGGAACCAACACTTTGAGGTTGTGAGTAGACTGCCAATCTCCAAAATAGTCACTGACAAGTGAGGTAAGCACTGAAAAGAGAGACTTGGCCTTCTAGAAACCTCAAAGTGAATATCCAAGAAAATAAAAGTTTGCAGTTTCTGCTATTTGACCAGTTCAGCCATGCTAACGTGTTAGACTTCAACCTCGAGACACATCAGGAGCACTTTAAAATGGATTTATAGCGGGAATGAAAAGTACCTGCCCTGCTTTGATGCTTTTGGAAATCGGCCTGAGGAACCTGCAGGGGTTTTCGTGGGCAGTCTCCTTCCTCCTTGATCAACTCAAGCAGCCCAGCCCTATTTCAGTAAGAGCTTCTACAAATCAGACGTATGTAGGGTTGATTTTTAACTCGACTGTGACCTTACCCATTACACAGACCCCTGGTCTAAGCAGACACCTAATCAGGTGTCTTGGAGATGGGTGGTCTTCACAGAACCAGACCGCATTTGGCAATTTCAGGCATGCTCAAGAAAGACATCGCTCTTCCCCACGTGGTCCAGCACAGCGGAAGCCACCACGTCCCAAACATTTCCAAATCCTCTGCGTAAGCAGAGACGGAAAGGGACCAGTACAAACCAGCAGCACAGCAGATGACACATCCCAAATATCTCCCACCTACAGCGGTGCTTTGCTACGCGTTACCTAAATGACAAACGAGCCGTGTGCCACAGCTTCTACGTCTTCCTTTTTACCACTAGTCATAAAAGAAGAAAGTGACCTTAAAAATAGCAACAAAATATTAAAAATGGTGATGTGACATACCGATAGCCTCTCTCTGACACACAAAGGGAGCTCCCCATTACAAATCAAAGGCACAACATGATACAGCCCAAAGAAGTCTTTCCAGAAAAATGTGAAAAAGCATTTTGAAATGCTTTTTTTTGTTATTCTTTTCAAGAAGTACTTACTGGCAGCTCTTTATGTCAATACAAAAGCTTGGTTATAATCTTCAGTAAATGCCAAATACTATTAAATTGATTAATTCTAAATTACAGCATATCACAGCCACGTAATTGCCAGGAGAGGTTTATCCAGATCAGCTAAACTGAACGCAAACTTCTAAAACTAATCGTCTTCTGTGCGCATTGCTATCTCCCCATTTCGCTTTAACGTCAGTGACGTAACTTTGCAACACATTATTCGCATCCAGCACTAGAGGTGGAATAACAACACAAACTCCATAATGCTTCCACTTGAGAGGTCTTGGAGAAAGAAATGGCCTAAACAGTTACACGTACAGTGGAGTCTGGGATTAAGAGTAAATTAATATAATTTAAATTAGGAAAATTAATTCAGGTAAATTAAATTACTCCATAGCCCTGAACCTGAAAGCTACCCTAGCAGAGAGATTGGACAACAAGAAGGTATCTTCAAGAGCATCCACAAAGGGAGCATTGGATGGGTTGGATGTAGAAGGATGCCCCTTGCAACCCATCACTATGTCCACTTAGCATTAAAAAAACCCAGAAACCCTCTACAAAATTGTACATCTGCCTTTCAACAAGAATTATATCTACAAGTTTGATTTTTAAGCCGGAAGTATTGCAGATTGCCACTTCAAACTGTGCTCTCTTTGAACCCTTATATACAAGGTATCGGCCATGTCTGGTGCGCTTTTTACAACTCCAACAGTATTTCCTAAGGCTAATTTTTCACATAAGGACATTACTAATTAGAAGAGGGACGGTTCATTTTCTTTTCTTGGTTTGGTTTTTTTTTTTTGGTCGGCTTTTTAATTTTTTCATGGAAAGTCTTTTCATTCTATGTTGGATATCAAAGAAGCACAGTCCATTTCCCACTATATTCAGGCCTAGAAAAAGAGGTAACAAGATTTTTTTTCTTTTTTCTTTTTTTTTTAATGAACAATGCTTATTAGTGTTTTCTCCTAACCAGCCTAAGTTACACATTCAGAGGACAGTAATGTAGTAAGACTATGTTTGGTCTGTGGAATATCTGCTGAACTGCTAGCACCAAAGGGAGCAATTGAGCTGTAGCCACATCTTGAAAATGTTGATATATGTGAATTTTTAATTTTTTTTTAAAATTCCATGTTCATGAAAGTGCCTGTAGATGAGACATAACACTATTTCAACCACCAGAGTCCTCCATGGAAACATGTGGGCAGATGCTATGTACATGTCCTAAGAGCTCACTCGCTGGCAGCCCAGAAGATTGCCAGTGTAGCCCGGTGTTCATTGTTGGTTTCTTCTTACTTTATCTTAAAAAGAACCAAACACTTTGTTCTGCAAGAGATTTTGATCTCTCCAATATATTCTTCAAGAAAGGCTGCTCTGGTCTCCCACAGAATAAAACGCAATGGCTCACATTCTGCATTACACAAAGCACTTGTGCAACACTTCTTTTCCAAACCTGCTCCAGAGACCGCAAGAAAAATGAAATTTAAACCACATTGTGTTGCCATGCAGCTGGAGCCATCAGCCTGCCATGCTTCCAGGTCCTCAACCCGACTTGGGGTAAATCAGATGGGTCAAAGTGTCAGGAATTCCCTTCAAGTAGATAAATCCCAGGGGGAAGGAAAAAAAAAAAAAAAAGAAAAAGAAAAATCCTCTTGGCCCATGGCAGAAGGGGAAAATCAGATGCCAGCTCTTCAATTAAAATTACAGCAAGTCAAGTAGCTGATACTTTTCCCCTCTCCTGGTAAGGGGGATGAGACATTGTTCACAAGGGTGTTTTGTCGTGCCTCGCTGATCAAGCGGCAGGCCAAGTCCAGGAAGAGTTTTTCCACATTATCCGACTCCTTTGCAGAGGTTTCCAGGTAGTACATGTCCTGTGCTTCGGAAAACTCAGCGGCTCTTTGCTGGGAGACTTCCCTCTTATCAGCTAAATCGATCTTATTACCTGCATCGATACAAAGATTTTAGAAAAAGAATTAGTTTGACTTCCAGAGCAAGAGGAGCAGAGGTTGATAAGGGATAACAAGGAGTTTGGTGTCGTATCTACGTATGGACAGCGGTTTTGATCTCCCCTCCAAATAATGGATTCCCTGATGTTTAATATCAGCTCATTTAATGGAATATGCCCTGCGAACATCCAAGTCAGCTTTAATTTAGCACCAGTGCATCTGTTCACTGCTATCAACCAACATGAAAGGATTTTCATTTTAATATCTATTGAAATTTCTCTGTTCTTGCTCTAAGGAGCACTTAGGATGTCAATTACAGCATGTAAGACACTAAACATGGTATTTCTCATATCATTAAAAGAAGTCTGGTGTGGAGGGCTGGTTTCTTATTTCCATGTTCCCGTGAAGGATTTGGCTGTTGAGGCTGCGGAGGGACGGGTTCGAGGGCACTTGCAGAGCAAGGTGGGGCGAAAAACCATTACTTAGTCACGCATTAATTATTTCTGCACCATTCACACACGTGCCATACCCTTCTTATGGGGCGTAATGAGTTCTTTGTATGGAAGCTCCTTAAATCTTAACACTCACTTGCAACACCACTGGGGCATGTAAAACTGAAAGAAAAAAATTTTAAGACACCTAAACACATTTTACAATTCTGCAGACATTTCTTTTAAACTATTAAAGGAGATAGCAACGCTGCAGAATGGAGTTTTTTTGCTTTCTCCAAGTTATTTTTTCATTATTGTTTGCATTTCCTTGGGCCTTGAAAAGCCAAGTCCCAGCTATCGGACGCTGAAAGCGGAGCATGGAAAAGCACAGGAAGGCAAAATAACCTTCACCTTGTGTGTAGCAGATGGCCTGAGATCTGCTTTAGCTTGAGTTGAAGCTCCACAGACTAATACAGCATTCAGGTACTTAATTTTAGTTTCCCTAAAATCCAGTTTTTCAGCTCCATCCCACCTGTGAAAGCTACGATCCACCCAACCATCACATCCTAACCTGGTTCCAGGATCCTGACCCACTGGAGACAACACTCCAGTTGTCTCACAGTGACAGGGTATAGCAACCTGCAGAAAACCCGAAATTGAGCAGATCCTTGGATATTTGTAGAGATCTGAGCTGGAAATCACAAGGGAAACTGCTCTATTGGTAGCTCCACCATCATTAGTCCCATATGGGACCAACTGGTGGGAACTACCTGCCTCCACATGCAATAACCTCAGACTTGAAACAAGACCAAACCTCCAGAAGCGCCTGTGCTGTCCTGAACATCACTACCAGCATCTCAGGGTTATTTGCAGAAAGAATGGTCCTGTGGTTACAACTGGTTGGCAACAAGAACTGCTGCACCAGTTGGAGCATCCTGCACCACCAGCTGACACAGACGCCACATTGTCCTCCTGCTGACACCTCCATCTGCCACCAACCCCTCTAGATGTGCTGCTAGCCCCCTCATCGCACCACCACCCCGCCAAGGATCACTGTCGCTTACCCACGAGCACGGTGATGACCTTGTTGCTGGCGTACTGCTCTATCTCCCGCAGCCACTCAGGCAGGCACCGGAAGGACTCTTCGCAGGTGATGTCGTAGGTCAAGATTAACGCGTTGGCACTGCGATAGTAACTTTGCGTGATGGACCGGAAGCGCTCTTGTCCTGCTGTGTCCCAGATCTGCAGCTTTTGGAAGGGGGGAAAAAAAAAAAAAAAAAGCTTTTTTTATGTGATAGCAGCATTGTTTGACCTAAAAAAAAACCAACTCTGCAGGGTAAAACCAATACTGGGAAAGCACTGAGCTTTTCTTCCCTTTGGCTTCCCCTCCCCCAGTGTTTTTTGTTTCTGTTCCTGTAGTCATGGATTGAAATGCAAGGCATAAAGTCAGCTGGCGCTGGGCTGACCACCCTGGAAGCTGCGGGGCTTTCACGTGGCTCCTCACATCTCCCATTGCCGCAGCCAGAGCTAGAGTCACAACGCATGCACTGGAGGGAGGAACTCACATATCCTGCCCCTAGGAGGTGGTGGAGTCTCCATCCCTGGAGAGGTTCAAGAAGCGTGTGGATATGGCATTTCAGGACATGGTTTAGTGGGCATGGTGGGGTTGGGTTGATGGTTGGACTGGATGATCTTAGACCTCTCTTCCAGCGACAATGATTGATGGGCTGGAGCACCTCTGCTACGAAGACAGGCTGAGAGAGTTGGGGTTGTTCAGCCTGGAGAAGGCTGAGGGGAGACCTTATAATGACCTTCCAGGACCTGAAAGGTGCCTATAAGAAATCTGGGGAAGAGCTGTTCACTATGGCATGTAGTGATAGGAATGGGGGGTAATGGTTTTAAACTAGAAATGGTAGATTTAGGTTGGATATTAGGAAAAAGCTCTTCACCATGAGGGTGGTAGATCAGTGGCACAGGTTGCCCAGAGAAGTGGTGCAGGCCCCATCCCTGGAGATATTCAAGGTCAGGCTTGATGGGGCTGTGAGCAACCTGATCTGGTACCAATGTCCCTGCTGAGTGCAGGGGTTGGACCGGATGAGCTTTAAAGGTCCCTTCCAACACAACACATTCTGTGATTCTGTGATCCATCTGAAGAAGAAACAAGAAAGCCTCTCCTCTTGCTCCCAAACCCAGCTACGGTTAAGCTGAGGTGATGCACTGATGGGTGGAAACCAGAGGAGTGAACACACAGCTCAGCTAAATCACAGAATGGTTTTGGTTGGAAAAGACCTTTAAGATCATCCAGTTCAACCATCGAACCAGCCCTAAGTCCATGACTAGACCATGTCCCTAAGCATGACATCTCCTCGTCTTTTAAACACCTCCAGGGATGGCGACTCAACCACCTCTCTTCATCCACCTCACCCAGTTGCTCATCGACGGCCTTCCCAGCATGTAGAACTGGTTGACACATCCTTAACTCGATCAGAGAGGCCATGAGAGTTTGCCAAACCTTCTGGGTCCAGGAAGACAACATTTCTCAACACAAACTAAATTAAACTTGTACTGCTTTTATCATTTGACCACCTGCTAGTTTCTGGTGGGCCATCAAAACATCAGTTCTCCAAAAAGGGAGTCAAAGAAACAAACATTAAAATTCAACCATTTCAGCATAAAAGAGCACTCCTCTGCTTCAACTTTTATCCTCTTAAAGCACCCCTCCCTAGAATTACGTAGGTGAAAGGTTGATTTCCAGCCAGAATCCTGTGTACTTTGGGAAGGAAAAGGTAAAGTATTTGAGATATTTTCCATATATTCAGCAGCTTGTACAGAGAAAAACCGTATTCTTGCCCAGTTTCACAGTTAAACTATGCTGGCTACTCATCGTAAATGTGTTAGTTTGAAATAAGAGCTTCCAGTTTTCAGACATGCGGTATGATTTTGAAAAAGTACATTTTTTTTGCAGAAAAAGTAATTTCTGGCTGCCTCACAGCTCCTAAGCATCTTTGTGCTTAATCTCTTGACATGCCTGCATTTAAACAGCCAATCCTGGCACCTGCAGTTAGGCGACACACAAAACCATTAATGAAATTACTTACATGTGAAATTCAGATAACGAACGAGTCCCCATTAAAACAAACCAGCCTCCAAACTCTAACAGATGGGAAAACACAGATCATTTTGTTGTTGCTCGGCTATTTCCCAGGAAAAACATTTACTGATTGGTTAAGTCCAGCTTATTTGGCATTTATTGAGAAGATCTCCAAGCTGATAAAAACCTGATGTGAGTCTACCAATAAGCTGGGTACAGGGAAGAGCCCCTGACATTATAGCCACCGATAAACTCTTCCTGCACATAAAATGCACATCTTGTATCAGCCCACTGATTATTTCTGCCAAATAAAATATTTTACAGCAACCACTTTACTTGTTTCTTTTTTATTTTGCAGAGCAACCAAAGGACGGTGCTGGAGTCGGACTGCAGAAAACCTGGCTGTTTATTTTCTTTGAGCCAGATGATGCTTCCCGCTTTCCAAGCTTTATTAACTTTTTCATTTAATAATAATAATTTATTAGCTTTTTATTTAATAATGCATATTTCGTAGTGCATATGAACATTTCCACCAAGTGCAGTAAGATCCCAGGTCCATCCAGCACGCAGCATTGAGGATGTTCAGCTTTGACCAGCACGATAACTGCTGTCTACTTGGCTCAAATTTGTGTAGACTCTTAGTAGAGGTGGTGTACATATTGTTTTTATTTTATTATAAAAGGCTAGGCATATCAAAAGCCCCCTCAACTGCACGGCGCTGTCTCAGCAAGCTTTAGTAGCCATTCGTATCTAGTATGGCTTGCACACAGTTTTCATGCTAGCAAGTTGCTCTCCACTGACTTTCAAATGCAATTTTGAAAGCTGGAAAGTATTTTTTTCCCCAGAAAAATATTATTTATTTTCAAGTCTGAAAAGCTTTTTGGGAAACTGCCCTGTTCACTCACCCTGGCTCCTAGCAGAGGTGTAGGAGATGCTGCCCAGCACAGAAGCGGAGCCACAGCTCAGGTGCTGTTAAATGAGCTCCTCGTTTGACCGAGATGTCATTTCCATCACTCCATGCTATTTTTTTTCTTTTCCCACTCCTTACACATTTATTCTCACTAGCACGGCTTACTCAAAACATTTCAGCTACAAGATAGCTCACTGAAAGAAACCCATTTACTTTTCAGGCTCCAGAAGGCTCATTCAAACGCCCAGACACATCAGACTGAGCTTCCTCCCATAAGCTTGGTCACTGTGGCTGAGCTCTGGCAACTCCAACTTATTCCACTGGTGGGGTCAAGAGAGGAGCTTCAATTTAACAACTCATTCAGCAGATGGCACCAAGCTGAATAGTGTGGTTGACACCTTGGAAGGAAAGGAACAATCCAGAGGGACCTGGGCAGGCTGGAGAGGTGGGCCCATGCCAACCTCATGGAGTTCAACAAGGTCAAGTGCAAGGTCCTGCACCTGGGTAGGGGCAATCCCAAGCACAAATCTAGGCTGGGCAGAGAATGGCTTAAGAGTAGTCCCGAGGAGAAGGACTTGGGGTGTCGGTCGATGAAAAATTCAATGTGAGCCAGAAATGTGCGTCTGCAGCCCAGAAACCAACCACATCCTGGGCTGCATCACAAGAAGTGTGGCCAGCACGGCCAGGGAGGGGATTCTGCCCCTCTGCTCTGCTCTGGTGAGACCTCACCTGCAGTGCTGCATCCAGCTTTGGAGTTCCCAACACAAAAAGGACATGGAAGTGCTGGAGCGGGGCCAGAGGAGGCCATAAAGATGATCCAAGGGCTGGAGCAGCTCTGCTACAAAGACAGGCTGAGAGAGTTGGGATTGTTCAGCCTGGAGAAGAGAAGGCTGTGGAGGGATCTTAGAGCGACCTTCCAGGACCTGAAGGGGTCCTACAGAAAAGCTGGGGAGGGACTTTTTACAAGGGCAGATAGCGGCAGTATGAGACGGAATGGTTTTAAATTGGAAGAGGGCAGATTTAGACTGGGTATTAGGAAGAAATTCCTCCCTGTGAGGGTGGTGATGACCTGGCCCAGGATGTCCAGAGAAGCTGTGGGTGCCCCCTCCCTGGCAGCGCCCAAGGCCAGGTTGGACGGGGCTTGGAGCAGCCTGGGCTGGTGGAGGTGTCCCTGCCCATGAGGGGTTGGAGTAGAGGGCTTTAAGGCCCCTTCCCACCCAAACCATGCTGTGATTCGGTGATTATTTCTTATGATTAAATATAGCTGGTACACCAGCTGCCACCTGCTAAGCCTCCATGAAACACATGACAACCCCAAGGTGATTCAGAGTTGCTTGGGTCGACACTTATGCATTCATGACCTTTGCAGGGACAAACCATGCTGATGAGTTCTCATTTCTCTCATAGAGCCTCCCTAAGCCATCCTTGCCCCTGGGATAGGCCACACTGGCACAACTGCTCCCAACCTTCTCTTAAAGGGTTTGCATCCTCAGTCCAAGGTAGTCTTACAACAGGATTACATCATGAAATCAACAAGTCAAACACAGACAAATCCTTAGGGGGAGTTCACCTGTCCAAAACCCAGACCTCAGATAAAAGGAATGTTCCTGAGGCTCCATCTGGACTTGACAGGGAACCAGATGCTTGGAAAGGGGAGGCATTGGAAGTGGATGGCATTAATCTTCCTCCGAAATTGCTTTTCTCCCTCTGTTGACCAGGACAACCTTAAGACAGCTGGTTCAAGCCAGGTAAATAAGAGAAAAATAAATTCCACTTTCAGTACCTTAAGCCATTTATTTACCAGCTTAGATCCTCCGAGCTTCTCCACCGGAAATGGTTTTAGCTGAAAGGAGCATCTCCACTGTCCGAGGAGCCTGGACAAGCAGCATCTGTGTCCTGGCCAACCCTGCTATGCCAGATGCCTGCTAATGAACACCACAACCACCTAACGAGCACTACAACCACTTAATGAGCACCACAACCACCTAATCAGCACCACAACCACTGAGTTCAGCACTGACACCACAGCGGCTATGTGTGATCCTCACCACTGTTCTATTTCACAATGATGAACGTTAACTCAGCCCTTATTGGGTGAAGGCATTTGCACCTCTTGTCCTTCACCCACTAAGGCTGAAAGGTCCCTTTTGCTCCAGGACCATCACTTGCCATAGGTTTGTACAGCTCCTCATACAGCAGGGTGGCAGCCTGCTGACGTGACCAAGCTTTACAAATCTGTCCTAATTCTAAGGAACACACCACCTGATTTTCTCCTCAAAAAAAACCTCTGCACTGAAATGCAGGCAAAAAAATACACTCCTCACCCCACCCCCCCCACCTCCCGACGAGTTAAAAATCTGCACAAATCCACTGTTTCCATCCCATCACTCACACAGGCTTAAAAATTGGTCTCAATGTCACATCCAGCCACTGCTCCCGCTCTCCCATTTAGAATGGTTTTGGTAGGAAAAGACCTTTAAGATCATCGAGGCCATTTGTTCACTACCAGATTTGATGAAGGCAGCAAGGGGGATACACCCTGTTTTTCAGCCTGGTGGCTGTGGATTTAATGCAGAGTAATTCCAGGAGCAGATCAGGGATGCCGAATACCTCAACATTAGAGGCTCAGATAACCATCTTCTTTTCCCACCTCTTCGACACCACAGCAGCTCTAGCAAAATCTCTACTAATGAACAAAGCAGCACCAGCCAATGTCTCTGGGTGCTGGATCTCAATCATGGATCCCATTAAGGCATGAGCTCAGTCCCTGGTGTGTTTTGGACCACAGTAGCTATGCCAAGTGATGCTCGGGCTCGGTTTGGGAATTAGCACAGGATAAGGACAGATTCCCAGCAGCAGTTTGGTTGCAACCACCCTATTTTGGAGGATGAAAGAACTAATGAGACAGAGTACATTGCCCTTCTCACTTCAGCCCATTGACCATTGATGTATTGTGGCCATCCCGACTCCTCCCAAATCTGTAACTTGGCAGAAATGGAAGATGAGTCTTCATTGTGCAAAACTGCACAAGTCCAGGAGCCTGCTCTCCTTCACCAACCATATCACAACATCATGAAGGTTGGAAGAGACCTCCAAGATCATCAAGTCCAACCATCAACCCAACCCGACCATGCCCACTAAACCATGGCCCCAAGTGCCACATCCACACGCTTCTTGAACCCCTCCAGGGATGGGGACTCCACCACCTCCTTGGGCAGCCCCTTCCAGTGCTTGACCACTCTTGCAGTCAAGAAATTTTTCCCAATATCCAACCTAACCCTCCCCTGGTGCAACTTGAGGCCATTTCCCCTTGTCCTATCACTGGTTACATGGGAGAAGAGACAACACCCACCTCTCTACCCCCTTCTTTCAGGAGCTGTAAAGAGCGATAAGGTCTCCCCTCAGTCTCCTCAGGAGCCCACAGGGTGAGACCTTCACTGAGCACCTCCCAGCAGGAACACATCAGACTTTGGGTTACCAGAAATGCTGTAAGCGGACGTCGCAGTGAATCACTGCCTTGTGCCTCCTCAACCCCAGTCAGACACTACCTCAGTGTCTCCTAAGCAAGGACAGAGTCTTTCAAGATTCCTCCTTTCAATTTTCTCCCTTAGAGAGGGTTTGCTGCTAATGATTCTGATGGTAATTGTGGAGAGAGATGCAAAGATCATTAGACCCAGCCTTGCCTAAGCTGTGCCACGTAGCCCCATGCTTCCCTGAGGGCCTTCCAGCAGCGAAAGGGCTGCAGCAAGAAACGTCAGCTATGCTTCTGCCACACGAGTTTGCACTGAAAACCACCAGGTTCCTACCTTTACTTTTTCACCGTTTATCTCCACAGTTTTAATCATAAAGTCAACCCCAATTGTGGCTCCTTGACCTGGTGGGAAAAGCCCCTGAAAGAAAACAGAGTTTCATTAAGCAAATTTCTGTAGCTCTCTCTGGGCGTCACCTTTTTCCATCCCCAAAACCATTCCTCCCTTCTCCCTTTGCCTGGACACTTATTTCAATATTTTCAAGAGGAAAAGGCTGGTGGGATTTGATTGCAGCACCATCAGAAAGGGCCAACAGCAAACAAACAAAAAACCTCCAACCAAACAAAAAATACACAGAGCTTTTCGCTTCCTGGTGGCACAAAGTGATGTTGATTCTGGAGAATCTCCATCCCCTGTAGCAGCTGTGCCGCCAAGGCACCAACAGCAGAAGTGGCCGCTGATTTTTGTGGTTAAATCTTTTGATTCTGTTATTCTGCTGTGATAAAGGTTTGGTGTTTAACAGAAGACACTGGACTGACAGCCCAGGACCCAGATTATTTCATTATCTACTAATGACAAATAACAGTGAGAGCTTTGTGCAGCAGCGAGGAGGGATGGGAAGGAAAAGGCGCATGGGAGCAGATGTGCTAGTTCTTATAGCCAATCTAAAGCACTCAGAACGAGTTTTCCCAGTGGCTTTCGGAGAGGATTTTCCATCTTCACAGAGGGGAGTTCTCTCTAATACAAGACCCCCAGCAGGGCTAAGTACAGCAGAGATCCAGACTGGTCCCAGTATGTGATAGTAGAGCAAATCACCAGTATAGGTGATGCACACACCAAGAGCACAGGGAACAAATTATTTTGGAGATGCGATGCCCTCGATGCATAGCCACAGGCTCCCAGCTCCCATCCCAGTGCTGCCCCCAGCCCAATGCCCCACGTCCAAGGGATGGCCAACCTTACCTGTGTGAAGCGACGGACTAAGCAGGTCTTCCCCACACCGGCGTTGCCAATTAAAACAATTTTGAAGAGGAAATCATAATCTTCCATACTCATTTACGCAGCTGCAAGAGAAGAAAGCATGACACAACGTGAACCAGGGTGGCTGGGAAGTGCCCTTTTA